CATTTCTGTTTTCTTTCCTTGTTATTAATGATATCATTGTACAGTTCTGTCTGTGACTCCCTCTAGGAAAACTGACCACATACGTTGTTTCAGATGTTGAGATGAAGAGAACCTTTCTCCACCAATCAGAACTATTATACCATCATTCTGTGGCAGCACTCTTAGCTTTATAATGCTTTTATTCTCCATTTGTGTTTGCACAGGGAGACAGGTTTAATTTTTAACCGTAATCATTCGTGGATGTGTGGATTTTAGCAAGTAAGCTATCTCTTCTCTACCTTAGTTCTCTGCATCTGTGAAATAGGGCTAAACACAGCTTCCTGGCACCTTTCTTACACAACACAAATGAGGTAATAGTTGGAATGTCCCTTGCAGGGGTAGGTTATAAGGACCATGTAAGTTGCTTATCAGCATTGTTGTATATACACACAACAAAAACATGGGAAAGTGTGCTGGAAATGTGAGACGAAACAAGATTCACAAAGCCCTGGCTGGACAGGGTAAGAGCTGGTGTGGTGCATGGAAGCAAACTTTGAGCTTTCTCTCATGTGGCCCCATCCCACCATGCCAACAGCCTCGTTCTGAGGAACCCTTCCCTCTCTTTGCCTCAAACTCTTTCTCAAGTCCTGCTTTTTTACCAGAAGTCTTTGAAGATCAGTGGCTGATCCCACTGAAGCCACAGTGTAATGTCTGTTTTTTTCTCTTTCTCAATGACTGCAGGATGCCCTGAAAATGTTCTTCTCTGAGTCATGCTGGACAGTTGGACTCAAGTGTTTTCTAGGTTTTCCAGTCAATTAATAGCTCCTTATCCCTAAAATGAGTCAATTAAATGTATACTCAGGTGCTACCATAGTATTTATTTACTAATTTATTCATTAGTGTCTTCAAATATTAACTAGAAATAATTCCACCAGCCTATACCCCAAAGCCTAAGCCTACACCCTGAGTCTAACCCTTCTTAGCACAAACTCCATTTCCTAGGTTGTAAAAGCTAGGACAATAACCTAGAGATTTTCACAGCATCCTGGCTTCTTGTATCTGCACTTTTGTCATAGTTTCAACCTCAATAAGATCCATTTGCAAGGCAAAACAAGATCATAGCAACAGCCAACTTCTCTTAGCATCTGAAAAGTCAGGCTGTGTTCTGATGTTTGCTTCATAAATTGGCACTGTCATGGTTTATGTTTGTGTCCCCCAGGCCTCATGAGTTTGCATTGTTCATTTGTGATGGTTCATTGTATAGTGCTTGGATTGATGGTTTCAGTGCTCCATCCATATAGGGGTGGAGCCAGGATGTGATGTAATGGCAGGAAGAAGGTGTGTCTTTCTCTCTTTGGTGGTTCGAGTTTGCTGCTGGCGGCCGCCATGAACTGCAGCCCAGCCATGCCTGCCTGTCTTGGAGACAACTGAGTGTGGACTGAAACCTCCAAAAACTGTAAGAAATAAACCTTTCCTTTCCCAGCCTTGGGCTTCAGGTATTTTGTCTCAGCAATGAGCATAAAGTAACTAAGACAGGCACCAACAATAAAGATTCTGAATCAGGGCTGAAGGGGCAATTTTGTCGATTATGCATGATGCAGAACAGAAGAAGTTGGTTTGTATTTGATTTTGTTTTTTCCAGCCACACAGTGCTTCCTTGGTGAGGCCACAGAGCGGTAGGGTATGGGACGTTTGTGAAGGTCTGTACAAGGTCATCAACTATTATTTACCTTCTGAGCCAAACAGGTGTTTGCTGTAGTTATTTATACCTAGGTTTCTCCATAGCTATTCACGGCCAAAATTCCAGGGGTCATCCAGGACAACATGCCCTTTAAAAAATAATCATTTCTCCCTGCTACCAAGTTACACAGCTAAGTTGCTGTGGGCCAAACCAAAAGCAATTACTCCAATAAGCTTTGGAGTAAAGAGTTTCTTTGCCACTGCCAGTGGCACAACCTGAGTTAGAGGTGGACCCAGGCAGAGGCCGGTGGCCGCATAGATAACCCAGAACTTAGGATGATTCCTAACCCAGGCCTCTTTTCTACTAACTTGGCTCCTGCTTCCAGAGGAGATGCTGCATTTCTGATTCTGAAGACCCTGAGCCTGGACCTGTTTCTCCATTTGATGAGGACCCATTTAGCTCCTTCTCACAGCCAAGCTTACCCAAGGAGAGTCAGACTCCTATCTCTATTTCTTCATTCATTGTGAAGTCCTATTATAATCTGATTTCCATGGTTTCCCATCCTAACTAAAATTAGCCACACAAGGCCTCCAAATAGTTCCTTTTTGACACCTCAGTCATATGCATCATGGCTATAATTCAGAACTAGACACCAGAAAAATGAGATGCACTTATACTTTTTCCTGAAAAAATGTGCACCAATCTTAAAGCCTGTGTTTATTACTATTTTTGATGGATCCTGCCTCTCATCCTTCTTTGAAACAAAACAAAAAAGCACCAGTAGAAAGCCATGGGTGAAATTAGAGTGCAAGTTACAGGTAAAATTTAAATTGGAAGAAGCAAGAAATAACACAGGCAACTTACCTTGGCTAACCTATCTACCACCACCCTACCTAAATGCATAATTTCTCAGTAGCAGAGGGCAATTCTTAGTCACAACCCCTAATTTTCTACCTCAAATCAAAGAAAGCAGCACTTGCCTTGAGTTATATCAGTTTCATCAACTTTCTTCCAACAGCATGCCCATTCCAAAGCCCTACCACCAAAATAATCTCTTCCCCCAGAGGACCTGCCTTGCTCGTCATGCGTCAGGGGACACTGCCAGCACTTTGAAGAAATAACATTTCCTCTAACCAAAGGACAACATTTCACAATAAAAGTGGGGAGCTCCAGGCCTGCTGCCTTGGAGTCACTGTAATGATTAGGCAGCCTTTCACCCCAAAACAGCAGTGGGGATTTACTGAATGGCAGAAAGACCTTTAATATTTGTGACTTTTCCCCAGTGATAATTTCAAGGTATCAGCCTATGAATTGTGTGATTTAAAAGCATGTGTCTTGAACCAGTGACCTACAGATGATGCTAATTTTTGCCATAACCAAATTGTGTAAGTCTGAGGATCAGTCACTTTCAAATTCTGTTTCTCTCTTCAGTCATTCTAAATTCTAGTGCTCTGTAGGTTTTGGTATACAAGAGAAGGATGTATGTATCACTTGCACCATAATGCTTTACACTAAATTTCAATACAACTGCCATATGGACATTCCTAGCTCCTTGGACCACTGATTGAAATTTTGGAAAATTATCCCAGTGTCTGCCAAATTATTAACACTAAATAAAAATAAGTAATTGCCTTTTACCATAATCTAAACCTAAAAAGAGTGTGCATCGACTCCTGGAACATAGAGGCTTACTGGGCATCTCTGTATCATGATATACCTAAAGGAGAAGGTTAATGGAAAATGTCCTCAATTTTATATTGGCAAGACTACCAAAGACTCAAGCACCACAGGAATGAAGATCAAAAAGCCTGGAGTAAAATCTCCATCCAGATGAGGTATTGAAGAAAAGGCAGGATGTATGGCAGTGAGAGGCACTGATCTCTTGTTTGCTTTTTGTTCTTTTTTGTGTTTTTTAAAAATTTGTTTCCTTTTTTAAATAGAAGAAAATTACTGTAGTTATCACTGTTTAATACTCCTTTTTCTAAGCTTATGCATTTAGGGTATTTCTGGTGGTTATTACTGCCATTTAGTTTGTAGGCTGTGAAATGTAGAGACTTGACACCTACATGGGAATAAGTGAGTCTGGAGGAGGAATTAGCATGACCTGGAGTTTGTCAATGATGAAGAAAAAGTCCTTAGAGGGTCTTTACCACAGCATAGTCACTGAATACAGTGGCTTTAGGGGAATTTGAGTTTCTTGGTGTAGATAAGATTGTACATAGGATCACAGAGATGTTAACATCTACAGAACTATCAGAAAGAGAACCCAGGTCAGAATAATTTTCAGCCACCTAATTTGCACACAGTTTATTTCAATTCTATTTAGGTGACCTATGTGATCCCATCAAATGAACCATCCTTTTCCAAGAAGGTATTACTGTATACTGCTAGTTTATTTTTATTTTTCTATTTTTTTATTTTGTGGAAAAAAATAAAATAAAATTTTGTAATGAAATAGTAGGAGAATATAACAAGAGTTAATACAATATATGTTTTTATCTTTTTTTTTCCTTTGTCTTTTTGAAACAGGGTCTCACTGTGCAGTTCAGGCTGGCCTTGAGCTCACTTTGTAGCCTAGGCTGGTCTCAAACTCGCAATGATCCTCCTGCCTCAGCCTCCCAAGTGCTGGGATTACAGGCATGAGCCACCACGCCCGACACGTGTTTTTATCTTTAAAGTATTTTTAAGGTTATCTTGCTCATGGTACAAGATATGAGCATAAAAATTTTTCTAATCAATATTAGCACAAACCTTCCTTTCTAATGAACTAAGAGACACTAATAATATAAATGACTTGCATTTTTTACCTTTTCCCTCCTGTCATTTCCTCTTTCACGCATCCTAATTCCTTTTCCCTTTTGAACAATTTCTTCTCATTTCACAATATCATTTAGACTTTGTACATTTTAGACTTTATTTACTCTTTCAGTTTCTCACACCAGAAAAACAATGCAATGTTAATACAGATAAGTCCAATTTGTTTCACGTATGAGTATAGACTCATGTTGCATCCATTTACCTATAAAATTCTCAAGTTTGTTCTTCTTTATGACTGAATAGTAATCCCTTATACCTCCTGAGACAAAGGACTTCTATACAGAACATATGAAGAATTAAAAAAGATCAGACCACAAATTCAAAGATCCAATCAAAAAATGAGCACCTGAGATGAATACACACTTCTCAGATGAAGAAATACAAATGGCAAATAAATACATGAAAAAAATTTCATCATTGGTCATTCAAGAAATGCAAATTAAAACAACACTGAGATCTCACCCCAGAAAGAATGACTATTATCAAGAAATCAACCAATAACAAATGCTGGAGGGGCTGTGGGGAAAAAGAAATCCTTTTTCACTGTTGGTGGAAGTGCAGACTGGTGCAACCACTGTGGAAATCAGTGTTGGAGATTCCTCAAAAAACTAGGGTGAGAGGTCCCATTAAACCCACCTATACTCCTTCTGGGTTTCTTCCCAGAATAATTGGAAACACTATATCACAGTGATATATGTGCATGCATGTTTACAGCAGCACAATCTGCAATAGCTCAGTCTTGGGAACAATCCCACTGACCAAGGAATGAATATACTGCAAGTTTATTTGGGATAGTGATAAAAAAAGGAGGGGATCGGAAGACATCAATTTTCTGTTAATTCTACATCCTTGGGTCCAAAGTAGATTTCCTTGCCCAGATTCTTACTCAGAATGCACCCTGCAACAGATGGGCAGTAGTGAGAACTCTAACACCAAGATTCGCCTATTGCCTATCCTTCACTGTCAGTTGGTTGAGCTGGTCACCCAGTCTTCTTTAGCTGTGATCATCTCTGGAGCCATAAGTGGTCTCGTAACTGATTAGGGAAGCATTTCATACCCTGCACTCATAAGTGAGTCAGAACACCATGGAATCCAAGCGTGGAGTACAGAACTAGATGAGTAAGAAGAATTTGCCCGGTGGAACCAAAGATTAATAAGCAGGCATTTGGTATGCTGCCAATTCATGTTACATCTGAGCCCTAGGACAGAGATCATCCAACTTCCGCAGCAGATGCCCATGATGCAGACACTAACGACCCCGGATTTAGGTGCAACACAGCATGATGAGCTCACAGACCACTGGAAACTGGGTCTTGATTTTCCAGATATCTCATGCTTCAAATCTATATGTATCTTTATTTGAAAAATCTTGGACCGAGTCACTAGGCAGTCTACGCAATGAATGAATAAGCTTAACTCCATAGGTATTTTAAAAATTCAATTCAGTTCTGTAAATATTATGGGCCTCCGAGGTTCCAAGCTGTGCCTTACATACTGCAGATACAATAACAAATCATTCCATGAACTCTCTGTTTCCAGATTTCTCACCACCCAGAATGGAAGAGAGAACATTTCTGATTCCATGGTCTGGGCATTGTGCTGGGCCTTTCCCATATAACTATCAATTTTTTTCACATATATTCTATAAATAAATTTTATTTTCACTTGACATACCGGGAAGAGAAGTCCTAAGAGGTTACTAGCCTGAGATCACAAAACTGATAACAGTAAGAGAAAAAAATGTGCACCTGATTGTGCTCATTTCGGATTTAAGCCGTCACCAGCACTCCTCCTGGCCACCCTCGTGAGCAGCAGTCACTTAATGTGTGCTCTGTGTTGTAGATGCATCACTTCATTTTACTTTCATGGAAGCCTTGAAGGGCATCACTGTTCACTCTAATCTTACAGATTAAAAAAAAAAACCAGCATTACAGAGATGACAACATAGATGGAAAAGTAATGAGCTTGCTGGCATTATAGTCAAAACCAAATACTACTGCTATTTAGAAAAAGTTGTGAAACAGTGAGGAGAAAAGATAAAGGGGCACCAAAGCCATCTGGTCTCTCTTCTCGAAATGTTTCATTTCATTGAAAATGAAAGTTGGGCCCCATATCTTACATTTCGTAAGTATCCACAGATGTCACTAAATTGAGTTGTAATTCAGAAGACACAGCAACTTTGTCCTAGGAAGGTGGCCCTAGATTCCTTACCCTAAGATGAAACCTTTTATTTAGTGTGCTTGGATACTGCTCTGAGTTCTCATTAACTTTACTGAAATATGATTATTTTAAGAAGCGAGAGAGGACTGCAAACATTCTTGCTTCCTGTATCTCAAAGAGGAGACATGAGTGAAACATGTATATAAAAGCTAAAGAGTAAGAAAGAGTGAAGGGAACTCACAGGCAGTGTTGCCTGAAAGATGGGGATCTATTATTCCAGCTGATTCTCAGCAAGATGCAGAACCCAAGCATGGCAGTGGATGTCCTGCTTCCAAAAGGCATAAGACTGCGGTGGTGAACCTATGTCATGGGTCTCCTGCAGGCTTTTATCATTGACAGCTCTAAAAGGTTTGCTGTGTCACTGGCAGAGAAGATCATGTGAAAACCTCACATACTCCATTACATCTTCTTCCTCCATCCCATCTTAGAAAGAACTTTTGTCTACCAAACTGTTTTTAATAAGTGACAGGGTTTATGTTTCTTATCATTAGAAATCAATGCCATATATAATTCTCAAATGGAGCTGCTGATTAGCATGCAACGCAGATTAATTTAGATGATGCAATTAAAATTAAAGGCTAAGAGGCTTGACCTTTTAGTTGGCCTTCACAGCGCTTGAGGGGGAGGCTGTATGCTGTTGTGGGAGTCTCTGGAAATACAGAAGATACACACAGATTTCTGATTTGCTTTTCCTTAGCTATTCCAGAGTCAAGGGACTGAGGGGAAGAAAATCAAGCCATACAGACCTTACCGTTTCACCCTCGGCTCCCTTTATCCCCAGCACCATCTCTTAAACAGAAAGGCTTCCTTTCCTTCCTTCTTTACTTCCCAGTGGCCAACTCAGCTCCACAGTTAGTTTTTGCATTGAGGACTCTCGGCAGAGTTTACTATTGAATTGCTCCTTCCCCATACCCAGGATACAGTAATCGCTGCTGAGATCCTGTTGGCAGATAGTGAACAAAATAATAGCGGAACTTAAAAACAATGTAAAATAATGCACTGATGACCATGGTTTTCCCCCTCTCATTGGTGTGGGAACACTTTAAGGTTATGATTAGCTTTTTTTTCTTTTTGATTGCTTCATATCAAGGAAGTGTCTGGAACTAGGCATTTCTCAGTAATTGTCCATCCAGTAAATGAGAGAGGATAATTGAGTTGTTCAAGATCATGCAATTAGTGACAGATTTAGATTTGTATCTGAAGCCTTTTCCACAAATTTCATCTTTCTCATTGTGATATTCTATTCAAGGTAAAATCCAAGACTCACTGGGTGGCCAGTCATAACATAGGCTTTGTTAGGCACCTGTGCTTCGAAGTGTCATCTTTTGAAGGTATTGTTTATGCATTCCTTTAATGAAAAATCCGAACAACATAGACATGGCCAACTTTGCAGGCAAAGTGACCTAAAATAGTGATTGACATCATAATCTTCCATGAAGAGCCCTTTTTAAGGCAAGAAATTGTGAAAATCTAGTACATGGAAATAATTGTACTTTTAGTGTACAGTACAGTGATTACGATACACACGTGTGCACTGCATGCATATGCACGCGCACACACACACACACACACACACACGCACACACACACACACATACACACACTAGGACTCTACAATTGCTTCACATTCCATAGAGATTTGTACCTCACAAGTTGAGTTCAGTTGAAAGATTCTAAAATGGAATCCATGAAAATGGAAAATCCATTCTAAATGGAATCCATGAAAATGGAAAATCTATTCTAAATGGAATCCATGAAAATGGAAAACTTGGCTACTGGTCCAACTTGGCTACTGCTTTAGCCTGGGACTTGTCTTATCCAAGCTTTGCAGCTTTTTAAACTGTAAATGAGGCACTCGGCTGAAAGACTCTGTGCAAGCCTTGCACAGGACAAGTGCACAACCCCAGGAGTGACACTGGCATAGATTGCAAGGCAACTCATGCCCTTTGGAGCTGTACAATGCAGCAACCCTGCTTCAGAAACTCCCAGCTCTGCCAGGCTGACTCCAGATAAACCCTATTCTCAGTGGGTGATAGGAGGAGATTTCAATCCCTTCTGCCTGAAGGGATGGGTCATTCTCACTACCCTCTGGTAGTGTTTCATAGCCAGTCTGACAACTCAAGGCCTACAGCAGGCAGCCATCTAGTTCTGATCAGACATCAACACCTTCTTTATGAACCATCCTAACACCATACTGATGATCTCCATTCCTAATGACTCCAAGCTCATCTCTTCTCTTCCAAAACATTCTTTATGGACTAAATGACATAAGTCCTACAGAGTACCCAAGGAACATTTCTAAGATTAGCCAGGCATTTTTAAGGGATTGTTCGAAGCTCTGAGGCCTTCATCCAAAACCCAATGTACACTTTCTTTGGGAACCATGCCTGGTACTTGTGTCAGTCACAGGAGAAATGATTACAAACATTAGAGGTGGTGATGACACAGGAGCTAATCTCTCCTGTTCTCCTGGCATGGTTTTGGGGAAAGCAATTCCTGTCCTTCTGCTCTGCCTTATAACTCTCAATACTAAACTCTCTGCAACATGTCTCACATTTCCCTTTAAAAATGATTCCTGGAATATAAATTTCTGAACTTTTGTTAAAATCACTATTGGAAGGAAAGACTGTGAGAAGAAATGAAGAAGGAAAAGGAAATAGCAAGGAGGAAGGAAGGAAGGAAGGAAGGAAGGAAGGAAGGAAGGGCAGAAATGCAGAATGTGGGGCATTGTGATTAACCTTTCTGTTTATATTATGCTATTGAACCCTCTCCATTATCTTGCAACTCATAAGTTGCAAGTTTTCCCTTGAAAATGTAATCATTAATTCTCAGAAGTGTTGAAACATATACATATGATAAACCCAAATTATAGTAATGAAGAGCAAAACACAAGATAGACAATAGGAAGTAGGGAGCTAAATCTTTCCTAAGTGGGAAAAATAGGAGATTAAGAGACAGTGATGGAGAAGAAGAAAGTGAATGAATAAGTGTGCAGGCTGAAAATCAAACAGCCTCTTCACTCCCATAAGCAATCTGCTGGTTCAGAGGACAGGCTGAGTTGATAGAAACTAAGAAAGTAGCCAAAAAGGAAGGATTCTGAACGCCCAGCAAGCCCCTGGCCTGACTGGGTAGCCTTGTACCACTGCCATTGGTCTACCCCCTGAGGAACCTACCTGCCTTCTGGACCTAGTACTGCAGTTGATCATTGGATCCAACCCCCTACCCAAGAACCTTGGACTACAGTGGATTACTGTGCTGGCTGGATGGGAGACTCGGGAACCCCTCACCAAAACAGAAGACCTCAGCAGACTCGGTCAGTATGGTGAGTTTTCCCCTAAAACAGAGGTCTGTAGTGGGTAAATAGGAATGGAAGGGAAACTCCCTCCAACTGGAAGATGTTGGCAAACCCGGCAAGAGAGTGGGTAATCCCCTCCTCCATACAGAGAACATCAAACAGGTTGAGGAGTGCACCAATAAGGCCTCTGCCAACTTGGAAAAAATTAAAAGAGTTTATGAGACCCTCAGTGACACAGTAGGGCCGCAGCTGACACAAACACTACAGACAGGGAGATCTAGTGACCTGCAATAACCTGAAGACATAGCAACAACAGAAACTAAGAGTTGACCTACATCAATACTTCTGGGCTAGTTAGCCCAGAAAGAATACAGGACTCACCCAAACAGGCCCTGTAGGAGGAATTCAGGTGGCTGGATCTCTTCTTTATTGTGTTATCCAGCAATTGGACCCTAAAACTCATATTACTGACAGTTGAGATTGTTGGGATTGAAAGACTAAAATTTACCCAAAAGATGAAAATGACAAAGTGAAAAGGCAAAACACAATCTCAAACATCTAGTCCATCAGGAGCAAGTATAGGAGACATTGAAATAGAGGCCTTTAAAAGTCATACATCAGAAATCTGAAAAGATAGCAAATAAAGTAAAGATACAAATCCATGAGGCTGTAGAGCAAATAAAATTAGAAATAGTGACTTATGTAAAGACAGAAATAGCAACCTTAGTAAATGAGTTGTTCAACATAGCGAGAGAAGAAATAGATTTAAAAAAATATAGGAACATGGAAAATTGATTGAAACTTGGAATGAACAATGCAGAAAACAAGCAGAATTCAAAAAAATTCAAAGAGATATCCAAGAAACAAACAATTGTATTGAAAGATGGCAAATCCATTTAAATGAAGCTGATAGAATTTCAGACCTTGAGGACAGGATCGCAGATAGTGATCATGAAAGGGCAGAACTTACAAAAACAACAAGCCACCATGAAATGACAATCCAGCAGCTTCAAGATGATGCCAAGAGAAACAATATAAGACTAATAGGCATCAGTGAAGATGCAGGAGTCAACACAAATGACATAACTAAAATATTCACAGAAGTAATAGCAGAAAATTTCCCACACATGGGGGGAAAATCTGATATACAAATAAGTGAGGCATACAGAATGCCAAACAGTCACAACCAATGTAAGTCTACACCCAGACATATAATAATTAAGGTCCTGACATATAGCATAAAAACAGAATGCTAAAAGCTGTTAGAGAAAAATCACAACTCACCTATCAAAGAAAGCCTATTAGAATCACAGCAGACTTCTCCACACAAACCTTCAGGTTAAGATGAGCTTGGAGTGAAGTATTTCATGCCCTAAAAGAAAACAACTTCCAATCTAGACTGATGTACCCAGAAAAGCTGTCTTTCAAATTCAATGGAGAAACAAGATACTTCCATGACAAAGAACAACTAAAGAAATTCATGCCCACCTAGAAAGAGTACTAAAAGACATGCTAGATAGAGATAAAAATGACCAATCTCCAGAAGAGCAATAGAAGGAAACCACCAGTCTGGATAAGAAATTAAACAAAGGAGAAAAACAGGATTCCAACAATAGGAGCAGAATATGGAAAGTCAAGCCAGTGCATATCAGTGATATCCATAAACGTAAATAGGCTCAATTCACCTATTAAAAGAAACAGGTTGACAGAATAAATCAAGAAACAGGATCTCACAATATGTTGTATACAAGAAACACACCTGACTCGAAAAGAAACTCCTAGATTAAAAGTCAAAGGATGGAAAAGAGTATTCCATGCAACAGGAACCCAGAAAAAAGTTGGGGTAGTTATTCTGTTCTGTTCTGTTCTGTTCTGTTCTGTTCTGTTCTGTTCTGACAAAGTGAACCTCAAACCTAAAAGGATTAGAAGAGATAAAGAAGGCCACTACATACTTATAAGTGGAAAACTACAAGAGGAAGAACTAATAATTATTAATATGTACACACCAAATACAGGAGCACCCAACTTAAAAATGAAAAAGACAAAAAAAAAGACAAATACTAATGCACATGGAAAACCAAATACACAAGAACACAATTGTAGTAGGAGACCTTAATACCTCATTGTCACAAAGAGATAGATCAACTAGACAAAAAGTCAGCAAAGAAATAACAGAACTGAATCATACCTGTGAGCTAGTGGACTTATGGATGTTAACAAAGTGTTCCACCCAACCATATCACCATACATTCTTCTCAGATGTGCATGGGACATTCTCCAAAATAGACCATATATTAACCCATAAAGCATTCTTACCTAAATGTAAAGGGAGCAAAATTATCCCATGCATAATATCTGATCATAGAGCACTAAAATTAGAAATCAATGGCCAAAAAACATGCAAAACCTGCATAAATACATGGAAATTAAATAACAACCTTCTGAACAACCAGTGGGTTACAGATGAAATTAAAGAACAAAATAAAACAATACCTACAATACAATGAAAATGCAGATACAACATATCGTAACCTATGGGATGCAATGAAAGCAGTCTTGGAGGAAATATATAGCAATAAATAGTCACATCAAGAAAATGGAATGAACACAAATAAATAACCTAATGCTACATCTCAAGCTTCTAA